AACTCAGTTCAATACCTAGCGTCTCTTGAGTTCTCCTATCTCAGCGAGTAGAGCGCCCGCCTGGCGTTCGGGAGGTCATGGGTTCGAGTCCTGTCGGGAACTCAGATGTTTTCTTTGGCCCGCGCTCGTGTCACGTTGATCAATTCACCTTTCACATTTCACTATCGAGTTTAAAAACTCACCATCTTTATTCACTTTTCAACGTGTATTCAAGGTTACAGATGTACTTCAATTTAATCCCGTAGAGTAATATACTTATCAGTTTAGAAGCAAGAAATTGGTTCGTAAGCTTTAGCTGGGCGTGAGATCAAAGTTGCCGATGTCGTAGGAGTGATAGGCTCGAATCTACGTTCCTCTCCGAGAAGGGACATGCCTTTCGGGGGAGGGGCGCGGGCTTGTTTCCCGAACAGCGTTCGGCAGCCAATCGAGATCCAACCGACACCGACTATACCAGGAGAATCGTTCCGCCATTCTTGCGTTTTTGGGTGTCTAGAAAACCCGAATAGCGAATAGCGAATAATCGCGAATAGCGAATAATCCCGAATAGTGTGAATAGTCTCGAATAGTACGAATAGTGGCGAACAGTCGCGAAAAGTGGCGAACAGTGATGAATAGTCGTCAATAGTCACCGCTTTAGATCTAATATCCTGCGTTAATTAATTATCCAAATAAGCAACAGATTTCAGTGAATTTCAGTTATTACCTTTTCTTCTCCGAACTCAGGCTAAGGCTGTCCATCGCCGTCGGCGGTCGACATTAAGAAAACAGAAAACACAAGGATAACCTAATAAAGATGCATTTACGGTTTTGCAGGGGTTAAAACAGAAGAAATTACGTTTAGAAACACGTTTTGTCCTGAAGCTTCCTGATATGTGTCTGTGCTTTTTAGCGGGAAAATCCCATCCTACGTTGCTATGAGGCAGTGACTGCGAGATACTGGGTGCCTCTATTCGCCATTATTCGCCACTTTCGCCACTATACGAGACTGTTCGCACTATTCGTACCGTGATTCGCTATTCGCTATTCGGGTTTTCCAGAGACCCCGCGTTTTCACAGTGTACAAGCAGATCTAGACCAAATCAAAGATCAAGAGTAGTACTTACTTGTTATTTTTTTTGTGTGTCTCTGAAAGGGAAAGAAAAAAGAGCAAAAGAAGAAAAACAAAACAAAAAACAAAAACAAAAACAAAAACAAAAACAGAAACATGATCATGAAGCAACCGAAAGAAAACCAAGATATCGAGGACACCTCAAGTGAGTTTACATAGATTAGGGAGCTATCAAGGCTCGGCTACTAAGCGAATATTTCCCAGCGCGCTCTTCCTCTTTCTAGGGGAAGCGATGGCCGATAGGTTCGTAAGTTGTAGTAAGCAGTACTCATCCGTTCCATCCGGACGAGTTTAAGACTTCTGTAATTCTGACTGTAGTAAGAAAAGGATTTTGCATGGTGTTCCTTTGTTTCTGTTCAATTATTTCCCCGAACGAACTAGCGAAAGGGCCACCAAAACAAGTTTACTTTTTGTCATATCGAACCCTAAAATGCCTTGATATCGATCGTTCAACACTGGGAAAGAATTATATTTCCAATCAACATTTTACGAGATGTGTGTTGACTATTTCTCGTCATAGTTTTATTCCTTTGGCATTCTTTACTCGTCGAATAGTTAAGGCCAGATGTTTCTCTTTAATTATTTGTTTTATTGTAGTAGAAAACTATATTAGTTCGTCTGCTGTCTTGTTTTGCAGAGAGAAGGTTCCACGTGTCCCCGAAACTCTCCTCAAAAAGAGGAAGAGTCTAGAACAGTTGAAGGCCGCCAGGGCTGAAGCACAGCTCGCGCAAAAAAAGGTTGGTCGACTCGCTTTATTTAATGGAAGCATAAAGTGAAGTTGCTAGAAAAGTCATAATTTTCAAACAGTTGTTTGGCCTTCGACGCAGTTACCTTTGATCGCAGGAGCCACTTTGTTTAAAAGAATATTTATATTATTTCGAATTGGGTTTCGCAAGTATTGAAGGTACCGATGGGCCATGCCCAGAGGTGCAATCCAGAGATTTAAAATGCTAGAACGCTGGACTAGGGTTTTTAACTCCAACTTTCGAACCACTCCGTACAGTGTAATAAACAGTGAGTACGACATAAAAGTAAGCTTACTGCTCATTAGCTTTCAGTTGAATGGTGGCGTGCTGGGATTTCATGGACTGACTTGGAAGTTAGAACGTCTTTATAAAGCAGCGTGAACAGTACCACATAAAGTACTGCCAAATAGCTTTCTTTTGAATGGTCACATACTAGGGTTTTTTCCACAGACTTGAAAGATGAAACCACCTTTTACAGCATAATAAACATTGCTGCATGAAAGTATTATGAATAAATATATTGTAAGCTTCATGGCCACAGTGACACTCTGATGCCTATATCATTACTGTAGTTTTGAAAATGCAGCATAAAGCTCCTCTTTTATCTATAATTTAAGGTACGAAGAGAGAAGCGCAAGGAAATCTTTAAAAGAGCTGAAAAATATGTGAAGGAATATCGTCAGCAAGAGAAAGATGAGATCAGAATGAAGCGTATGGGACGGAAACATGCAAACTTCTATGTCCCAGCTGAAGCTAAGCTTGCTTTTGTTATTCGTATCAGAGGGTATGTAGAGTTTTAATATCAGGGCCGGGTTGTTCAAAGCCAGATTAAACTAACCCAGGATAAGTAAGAATTTTGATTTGAGTTTTGTGACTTTTTGGTGAGGTTTTCTGTTTATATTGTTTGTCGTTCTGTTTAGAGTTTGAATAATCTCAAACTACACAAAACGCAAGCAGTGAAAGACATTTTTATAACAGAAAAAATATTACTTTGGTTAACCTTAAATCGTAGGTTAGTGTTAACTGGCTTTCGAACAACTCAACCTAGTGTGGTGATAACAAGTGTTTTTTTTTGTAGAAATGTTTCTAATACAGTCATGGTTTTATCACTATTTCTTTGGTAAAAACACTATCGATCAATGATACCACAAGATTTGTACATGTAGATTTGTTAATATGAAGAGTTATCAATTGTTACATGCTGTAGTCCATGTTTTAAGCAAAGAAAGGCATAAGTAATTCTTTTTTACTTCTTTGCTATCTTATTTCTATAGTTTATATGTAATTGTATTTTTTATGTACAACACTGTAACAGCGTGAACAAGTTAAGTTCTGTGACATAGTAATAAATGTCACTTGGTCCAACGTGACACCCAGTGGGTTGGCCCTCACTGGCTCTGTCTTAATGGCTTTTAGGAGCTGAGTGTCTTAGAGGCACATCACCCATGATGTCTGTTCCTTGCCATGTCGTTGGAGATCAAAACTGCCCCCAGTGTCTCACTGTGTGAGCACTGGTTTGGTGTGGTGCTTTGTATATTCCTTGTGCTTCCCAGAGTCACTCGATGACCATGACTGGGGGGATAAACCATACAATGAACAATCCCATTTGTGCATTTTTTGTGATTTATTTCATGGGCTATGACTCTAACTGTATGCTAAGAGTCAAGCAATCATTATTGTGTTTATTTGTTTGCTTTTTGTTTGTTTCTAGTATCAATGGTGTGAGTCCAAAGGTGCGAAAGATTCTTCAATTGTTTCGCTTGCTGCAGATCCACAATGGTGTGTTCATTAAGCTGAATAAGGCCACGATCAACATGTTACGAATTGTGCAGCCTTATGTTGCATATGGGTGAGTAGAACTTGTTTGATACTGATGCAGTCAACCTGTAATTTTGTTTGGAATCTAAACTTTGTGTTTCTCAATTAGAGTAAGCAAGGTATTAGGTACTAAACTAAGCAGAATTTAAAACTTCATTACATGCAAGTTTCAAATTGTTATCAGCTATATCTGTAAGCTTTATGTGTGCCCAGGGTTCGTACAGGTCCTGGAAAACCTGGAAAGTCCTGGATTTTATTGTGGTATTTTCCAGGACTGGAAAATCCCTGAAAAAGGCTTATGGTCCTGGAAAGATTTGGTAATCTGTTTGACTCAAGTAAAAAAAAATATGATGTGTATGGCAGACAGTAAGGAGAATTAACATTGAGATCTTGGGAGTGAAAGGGTTAATGTGAATTTTGAGTTCTGGAAAAATCACTCTGAGTCCTGGAGAAGTTCTGGAAAAGTCCTGGAAATCTTTTTCTGAAAAAAGGTATGAACCCTGGCCCATTCCAACGTGACACCCAGTGGGTTGGCCCTCACTGGCTCTGTCCTAATGGCGTTTAGGAGCTGAGTGTCCTAGAGACACATCATCCATGATGTCTGTTCCTTGCCATGTCGTTGGAGATCAAAACTGCCCCCAGTGTCTCACTGTGTGAGCACTGGTTTGGTGTGGTGCTTTGTATATTCCTTGTGCTTCCCAGAGTCACTCGATGACCATGACTGGGGGGATAAACCATACAATGAACAATCCCATTTGTGCATTTTTTGTGATTTATTTCATGGGCTATGACTCTAACTGTATGCTAAGAGTCAAGCAATCATTATTGTGTTTATTTGTTTGCTTTTTGTTTGTTTCTAGTATCAATGGTGTGAGTCCAAAGGTGCGAAAGATTCTTCAATTGTTTCGCTTGCTGCAGATCCACAATGGTGTGTTCATTAAGCTGAATAAGGCCACGATCAACATGTTACGAATTGTGCAGCCTTATGTTGCATATGGGTGAGTAGAACTTGTTTGATACTGATGCAGTCAACCTGTAATTTTGTTTGGAATCTAAACTTTGTGTTTCTCAATTAGAGTAAGCAAGGTATTAGGTACTAAACTAAGCAGAATTTAAAACTTCATTACATGCAAGTTTCAAATTGTTATCAGCTATATCTGTAAGCTTTATGTGTGCCCAGGGTTCGTACAGGTCCTGGAAAACCTGGAAAGTCCTGGATTTTATTGTGGTATTTTCCAGGACTGGAAAATCCCTGAAAAAGGCTTATGGTCCTGGAAAGATTTGGTAATCTGTTTGACTCAAGTAAAAAAAAATATGATGTGTATGGCAGACAGTAAGGAGAATTAACATTGAGATCTTGGGAGTGAAAGGGTTAATGTGAATTTTGAGTTCTGGAAAAATCACTCTGAGTCCTGGAGAAGTTCTGGAAAAGTCCTGGAAATCTTTTTCTGAAAAAAGGTATGAACCCTGGCCCATTCCAACGTGACACCCAGTGGGTTGGCCCTCACTGGCTCTGTCCTAATGGCGTTTAGGAGCTGAGTGTCCTAGAGACACATCATCCATGATGTCTGTTCCTTGCCATGTCGTTGGAGATCAAAACTGCCCCCAGTGTCTCACTGTGTGAGCACTGGTTTGGTGTGGTGCTTTGTATATTCCTTGTGCTTCCCAGAGTCACTCGATGACCATGACTGGGGGGATAAACCATACAATGAACAATCCCATTTGTGCATTTTTTGTGATTTATTTCATGGGCTATGACTCTAACTGTATGCTAAGAGTCAAGCAATCATTATTGTGTTTATTTGTTTGCTTTTTGTTTGTTTCTAGTATCAATGGTGTGAGTCCAAAGGTGCGAAAGATTCTTCAATTGTTTCGCTTGCTGCAGATCCACAATGGTGTGTTCATTAAGCTGAATAAGGCCACGATCAACATGTTACGAATTGTGCAGCCTTATGTTGCATATGGGTGAGTAGAACTTGTTTGATACTGATGCAGTCAACCTGTAATTTTGTTTGGAATCTAAACTTTGTGTTTCTCAATTAGAGTAAGCAAGGTATTAGGTACTAAACTAAGCAGAATTTAAAACTTCATTACATGCAAGTTTCAAATTGTTATCAGCTATATCTGTAAGCTTTATGTGTGCCCAGGGTTCGTACAGGTCCTGGAAAACCTGGAAAGTCCTGGATTTTATTGTGGTATTTTCCAGGACTGGAAAATCCCTGAAAAAGGCTTATGGTCCTGGAAAGATTTGGTAATCTGTTTGACTCAAGTAAAAAAAAATATGATGTGTATGGCAGACAGTAAGGAGAATTAACATTGAGATCTTGGGAGTGAAAGGGTTAATGTGAATTTTGAGTTCTGGAAAAATCACTCTGAGTCCTGGAGAAGTTCTGGAAAAGTCCTGGAAATCTTTTTCTGAAAAAAGGTATGAACCCTGGCCCATTCCAACGTGACACCCAGTGGGTTGGCCCTCACTGGCTCTGTCCTAATGGCGTTTAGGAGCTGAGTGTCCTAGAGACACATCATCCATGATGTCTGTTCCTTGCCATGTCGTTGGAGATCAAAACTGCCCCCAGTGTCTCACTGTGTGAGCACTGGTTTGGTGTGGTGCTTTGTATATTCCTTGTGCTTCCCAGAGTCACTCGATGACCATGACTGGGGGGATAAACCATACAATGAACAATCCCATTTGTGCATTTTTTGTGATTTATTTCATGGGCTATGACTCTAACTGTATGCTAAGAGTCAAGCAATCATTATTGTGTTTATTTGTTTGCTTTTTGTTTGTTTCTAGTATCAATGGTGTGAGTCCAAAGGTGCGAAAGATTCTTCAATTGTTTCGCTTGCTGCAGATCCACAATGGTGTGTTCATTAAGCTGAATAAGGCCACGATCAACATGTTACGAATTGTGCAGCCTTATGTTGCATATGGGTGAGTAGAACTTGTTTGATACTGATGCAGTCAACCTGTAATTTTGTTTGGAATCTAAACTTTGTGTTTCTCAATTAGAGTAAGCAAGGTATTAGGTACTAAACTAAGCAGAATTTAAAACTTCATTACATGCAAGTTTCAAATTGTTATCAGCTATATCTGTAAGCTTTATGTGTGCCCAGGGTTCGTACAGGTCCTGGAAAACCTGGAAAGTCCTGGATTTTATTGTGGTATTTTCCAGGACTGGAAAATCCCTGAAAAAGGCTTATGGTCCTGGAAAGATTTGGTAATCTGTTTGACTCAAGTAAAAAAAAATATGATGTGTATGGCAGACAGTAAGGAGAATTAACATTGAGATCTTGGGAGTGAAAGGGTTAATGTGAATTTTGAGTTCTGGAAAAATCACTCTGAGTCCTGGAGAAGTTCTGGAAAAGTCCTGGAAATCTTTTTCTGAAAAAAGGTATGAACCCTGGCCCATTCCAACGTGACACCCAGTGGGTTGGCCCTCACTGGCTCTGTCCTAATGGCGTTTAGGAGCTGAGTGTCCTAGAGACACATCATCCATGATGTCTGTTCCTTGCCATGTCGTTGGAGATCAAAACTGCCCCCAGTGTCTCACTGTGTGAGCACTGGTTTGGTGTGGTGCTTTGTATATTCCTTGTGCTTCCCAGAGTCACTCGATGACCATGACTGGGGGGATAAACCATACAATGAACAATCCCATTTGTGCATTTTTTGTGATTTATTTCATGGGCTATGACTCTAACTGTATGCTAAGAGTCAAGCAATCATTATTGTGTTTATTTGTTTGCTTTTTGTTTGTTTCTAGTATCAATGGTGTGAGTCCAAAGGTGCGAAAGATTCTTCAATTGTTTCGCTTGCTGCAGATCCACAATGGTGTGTTCATTAAGCTGAATAAGGCCACGATCAACATGTTACGAATTGTGCAGCCTTATGTTGCATATGGGTGAGTAGAACTTGTTTGATACTGATGCAGTCAACCTGTAATTTTGTTTGGAATCTAAACTTTGTGTTTCTCAATTAGAGTAAGCAAGGTATTAGGTACTAAACTAAGCAGAATTTAAAACTTCATTACATGCAAGTTTCAAATTGTTATCAGCTATATCTGTAAGCTTTATGTGTGCCCAGGGTTCGTACAGGTCCTGGAAAACCTGGAAAGTCCTGGATTTTATTGTGGTATTTTCCAGGACTGGAAAATCCCTGAAAAAGGCTTATGGTCCTGGAAAGATTTGGTAATCTGTTNCCTTTGTTTCTGTTCAATTATTTCCCCGAACGAACTAGCGAAAGGGCCACCAAAACAAGTTTACTTTTTGTCATATCGAACCCTAAAATGCCTTGATATCGATCGTTCAACACTGGGAAAGAATTATATTTCCAATCAACATTTTACGAGATGTGTGTTGACTATTTCTCGTCATAGTTTTATTCCTTTGGCATTCTTTACTCGTCGAATAGTTAAGGCCAGATGTTTCTCTTTAATTATTTGTTTTATTGTAGTAGAAAACTATATTAGTTCGTCTGCTGTCTTGTTTTGCAGAGAGAAGGTTCCACGTGTCCCCGAAACTCTCCTCAAAAAGAGGAAGAGTCTAGAACAGTTGAAGGCCGCCAGGGCTGAAGCACAGCTCGCGCAAAAAAAGGTTGGTCGACTCGCTTTATTTAATGGAAGCATAAAGTGAAGTTGCTAGAAAAGTCATAATTTTCAAACAGTTGTTTGGCCTTCGACGCAGTTACCTTTGATCGCAGGAGCCACTTTGTTTAAAAGAATATTTATATTATTTCGAATTGGGTTTCGCAAGTATTGAAGGTACCGATGGGCCATGCCCAGAGGTGCAATCCAGAGATTTAAAATGCTAGAACGCTGGACTAGGGTTTTTAACTCCAACTTTCGAACCACTCCGTACAGTGTAATAAACAGTGAGTACGACATAAAAGTAAGCTTACTGCTCATTAGCTTTCAGTTGAATGGTGGCGTGCTGGGATTTCATGGACTGACTTGGAAGTTAGAACGTCTTTATAAAGCAGCGTGAACAGTACCACATAAAGTACTGCCAAATAGCTTTCTTTTGAATGGTCACATACTAGGGTTTTTTCCACAGACTTGAAAGATGAAACCACCTTTTACAGCATAATAAACATTGCTGCATGAAAGTATTATGAATAAATATATTGTAAGCTTCATGGCCACAGTGACACTCTGATGCCTATATCATTACTGTAGTTTTGAAAATGCAGCATAAAGCTCCTCTTTTATCTATAATTTAAGGTACGAAGAGAGAAGCGCAAGGAAATCTTTAAAAGAGCTGAAAAATATGTGAAGGAATATCGTCAGCAAGAGAAAGATGAGATCAGAATGAAGCGTATGGGACGGAAACATGCAAACTTCTATGTCCCAGCTGAAGCTAAGCTTGCTTTTGTTATTCGTATCAGAGGGTATGTAGAGTTTTAATATCAGGGCCGGGTTGTTCAAAGCCAGATTAAACTAACCCAGGATAAGTAAGAATTTTGATTTGAGTTTTGTGACTTTTTGGTGAGGTTTTCTGTTTATATTGTTTGTCGTTCTGTTTAGAGTTTGAATAATCTCAAACTACACAAAACGCAAGCAGTGAAAGACATTTTTATAACAGAAAAAATATTACTTTGGTTAACCTTAAATCGTAGGTTAGTGTTAACTGGCTTTCGAACAACTCAACCTAGTGTGGTGATAACAAGTGTTTTTTTTTGTAGAAATGTTTCTAATACAGTCATGGTTTTATCACTATTTCTTTGGTAAAAACACTATCGATCAATGATACCACAAGATTTGTACATGTAGATTTGTTAATATGAAGAGTTATCAATTGTTACATGCTGTAGTCCATGTTTTAAGCAAAGAAAGGCATAAGTAATTCTTTTTTACTTCTTTGCTATCTTATTTCTATAGTTTATATGTAATTGTATTTTTTATGTACAACACTGTAACAGCGTGAACAAGTTAAGTTCTGTGACATAGTAATAAATGTCACTTGGTCCAACGTGACACCCAGTGGGTTGGCCCTCACTGGCTCTGTCTTAATGGCTTTTAGGAGCTGAGTGTCTTAGAGGCACATCACCCATGATGTCTGTTCCTTGCCATGTCGTTGGAGATCAAAACTGCCCCCAGTGTCTCACTGTGTGAGCACTGGTTTGGTGTGGTGCTTTGTATATTCCTTGTGCTTCCCAGAGTCACTCGATGACCATGACTGGGGGGATAAACCATACAATGAACAATCCCATTTGTGCATTTTTTGTGATTTATTTCATGGGCTATGACTCTAACTGTATGCTAAGAGTCAAGCAATCATTATTGTGTTTATTTGTTTGCTTTTTGTTTGTTTCTAGTATCAATGGTGTGAGTCCAAAGGTGCGAAAGATTCTTCAATTGTTTCGCTTGCTGCAGATCCACAATGGTGTGTTCATTAAGCTGAATAAGGCCACGATCAACATGTTACGAATTGTGCAGCCTTATGTTGCATATGGGTGAGTAGAACTTGTTTGATACTGATGCAGTCAACCTGTAATTTTGTTTGGAATCTAAACTTTTGTGTTTCTCAATTAGAGTAAGCAAGGTATTAGGTACTAAACTAAGCAGAATTTAAAACTTCATTACATGCAAGTTTCAAATTGTTATCAGCTATATCTGTAAGCTTTATGTGTGCCCAGGGTTCGTACAGGTCCTGGAAAACCTGGAAAGTCCTGGATTTTATTGTGGTATTTTCCAGGACTGGAAAATCCCTGAAAAAGGCTTATGGTCCTGGAAAGATTTGGTAATCTGTTTGACTCAAGTAAAAAAAAATATGATGTGTATGGCAGACAGTAAGGAGAATTAACATTGAGATCTTGGGAGTGAAAGGGTTAATGTGAATTTTGAGTTCTGGAAAAATCACTCTGAGTCCTGGAGAAGTTCTGGAAAAGTCCTGGAAATCTTTTTCTGAAAAAAGGTATGAACCCTGGCCCATTCCAACGTGACACCCAGTGGGTTGGCCCTCACTGGCTCTGTCCTAATGGCGTTTAGGAGCTGAGTGTCCTAGAGACACATCATCCATGATGTCTGTTCCTTGCCATGTCGTTGGAGATCAAAACTGCCCCCAGTGTCTCACTGTGTGAGCACTGGTTTGGTGTGGTGCTTTGTATATTCCTTGTGCTTCCCAGAGTCACTCTGTGACCATGACTGGGGGGATAAACCATACAATGAACATTCTGTTTTGGTTTGTCAACAAAGAGATTTTTATTGTACATGTATAAATTACCTTGTGGTAAGTGTGCTTTTGTTATGCACCTCCTTGTTGACTGTCACTTGGATGAACTGAGGGTTTGAACTCTTGTTAACTACACACACCAAAGGATTGCAGTTAGAGACTTCCAATTTCAGATAATTTTTCTGTGCCTTTCAATTACACACAAGCATGGAAGTTCAAAACAAGGCCATGGAAAACCTTGGAAAAAAGAAATAAACCAAATCAAAATCTACTAATTACAGTTTCTACAGCGTACAATCATGACCTTTTGAATCTACTGCAATGAACATCTGTTTCCTGAAATGACCCTAAGATTATTGACAGCAGTGAAAATACAACCTTTGTTTGTTATTGAAAGGTGCAGTAAGCCAATAAGCAAAAACCATTTTACCTTGCAAGCGTAATGTGTACTTGATCATGTTCCTTCAGCAAATACACAGCTGTGAGAGAACCAGTCAAATTCATTAATATTCAACAGAGCACAAGTCAACAAACTTCAAGTTAGCTGTGAAAAAAAAAACAACAACAACAACAACAACAACAACAACAACAACAACAACAAAAAACAACCAATCAAGCAAACAAAAAGATGGCTCTTATTTTGTAGCCAATCAGAGCATGTGCTGAACCCAGTCTTGCACCACTTCTGTATTATAGGTAATAGCTTGTTTTTCTTTTTAGGTACCCAAATCTGAAGAGTGTGCGGGAGTTGATCTACAAGCGTGGCTATGGCAAGGTCAACAAGCAGCGCATTGCCATCACTGACAACTCCATCATTGAACAACAGCTGGGCAAGCATGGTATCATCTGCATTGAGGATCTCATTCATGAGATCTACTCAGTGGGTGAGCACTTTAAGGAAGCTAACAACTTCCTGTGGCCCATGAAGCTCAGTTCTCCAAGGGGTGGCTTCCGCAAGATTACCACACACTTTGTTGAGGGCGGAGATCATGGAAATCGAGAGGACAAGATTAATCAGCTTATTCGCAAAATGAACTAAAACCTTGTATAGAATGAAGTGCAATAAACTGACACTGTTTCCTTCACTGTTGTTGAGTAAGTTGATATCATTTATATTATCCCGGGGTTGGGGGGGAGGGGAGGCTGACTCCCTTACATGTGCTATATAGGTATGTGCAGCCCCAAAGGGTATGGTTTTTCAGCCATTTTGGTCATAAATAGGGTATGGGTTTTGCTCTGTAGCCTTGATATGGGTATGTTTTTAAGAAGAAGCCACTTTTTCATCATTATTGAAAAGAAAATCAACAAAATCCTTTCATAAATTATGTTTATGGTAGTTCAACATTGGTCTGAACTAGGGAACTAACTACAACACAAGTCTGAAACAAGGTTTTGATTCAAGGGTCAGGTCATAAATAGGTTTTCAAATTTTTGGTCAGGTCATAAATAGGGTAGGGAATGTTGCAGATTTTAGTCAAATAGGGTAAGGGTTTCAGGAAGCAGGCCTCACATCCCTCCCAATTTTTCTGGGAGTTTTTTCCCCGCTCCCCCCCCCCCCCCCCCCCCCCCCCCCCCCCCCCCCCCCCCCCC